GTAATATTGTATTAAACTTAATTATGAAAAATATAAAGGCATAAATAAATATCAATTATTATTAAAAAATAATTATTTAAAATATTAAGCATAGATACATGTCTCATATTTGTAATAACAAATTAAGTGTTGAAACAAAAATCAAATTAACATAAGACTTCATTAATTGTTGAATAAAAATCAGAATCAAAATATACTTCAATTAATTTTCAAAATCAAGATTTTAACTGCAATTTATTTTTATGACAAATTTTTGAACTACAATCATCACGAATATTTGTACAAATATTAACAACCATTAATAAATGAAAAATCAAAACATTGTGAACTCAAAACCAAGCACACCTCTACAACTGATATTTGATTTGGGCTTTAGTTCAAAATCAAACTCTATACAATAATCCAGCCTAATTAATCTTTAAAAAGAAAAAAAGAAAACTTTGTAATGATCAAAAAAATGGAGAATAGTAAGGATCGTTGCTAACCATGCCATTAGCAATACTTACAAATAACATTACTCATTTGCACAGAGTTTGTTTTGTGGATGTGTGATTATGCTAAAATTAATGAATAAGATAAAAACGAGGCAGTTAATAAGTCGATTTAATATCAATTAATGATAATTAAGGGAAAGACGATGGTTAGGTATTGAGGGCATGTTTGACATGATAAAGTGGATAATATTGGACAATAATAAGAAAAAAATAATTTGAAATTTTATTTATTATATTAGTGCTAGGTGACAAACGTACCTGTATTGTATTCAGAGGCGGACCCAGAAAGAAAGTTCAGTGGGGGCGAAATAAAAAAACCTTGAAAAAAATTTGAAAACCTGAAAAAACATGGACAAAAAAATTTAAAAAATCTGAAAATTCGAAGAAAAATCAGGAAATCTGAAAATTGAGTGGGGGCGGTGGCCTCCACTGGTCCTCAAGTAGGCCCGCCCTTGATTGTATTGACCTAAACCTAAACATATAATCTTGTTCATAATAGTAGAAAGAAGACGGACAAACTAAGATTTGTATATGTAGCGATGTCAACAAAATTGGACTGGATTGACTAGTGCAACTTAAAAATTCAGAATTTAGTCCAATAGGCCAAAATAAATAAATAAAACCCCATGAAGATCACTTTTCGAATTGATTAGTTCAGGCTCAAAATCGGTTGTTTAAATTCAAAAGGGACAAATCGCAACCTAAACTAGTCAATTCATCCCGAATTCAATTTATTTATTTTTACAATTTTTTTATTATAGATTCGATCCATCCCGACTCTTGACCTTTTATCTTTTCCGAATTAATTCACGAGCTGATTTTTTTTTTTTTTTGAAGCATTATTATACATACATATACTTATGGAAAAAGTCGATTACCATAAATTTTGTATGATTCTTTAGAGTACAAAAGGGAATTAGGTTTTATTGCAAGGGTCTCCTTTTGAAGCTGTCATTTTCTGTGGGGGTAAACAAATTAATTTATTAATTATTATTTATAAGTGGTATGGTGGCACGCGGGCCAAGTGTTTTGCACGCATTCATGGATATGCACGCGCATTTTGGATTTCTCATTATTTTGGGGGCTAAACGTAATACTCCTTGTTTAATAATTTTGTATAATAATTTTTGTCCTTTAATTATACATTAAATTGCATTAAATCATGCCAACTTACCATTAGCCTTGAATAGATTATGCATTTACACCCACCAGCCGATATCTATAATTGTTTCTATCATTCTATCTACACTTACAATATATTAGATACAATTAATTCGTGTCTATATTTTTTTTATATTTTGTAATTTATTGCACTTTTATAATGGATTCATTGAAATTTTCTTGTTGTAACATTGGAAAATTTATTGCAAGCATTCAAAGATGGCACGTATGCGACGACAATTACACTAAAATTTATTTATCTTTGTCATGATAATGTTGATGTTTTAGTGTATTTGATGCGATCAACAACCAATCGGATACGTTGATCCTGCTAATTATGACGGAATTGGATGAAAAATGTCACTTTTCTTCATAGAAACGAGCTTATGAGCTAAACTCATGTACTTAAAGCCCTTAAGCCCACAGTGTTGATACTTTTATATCAATCATGCTACTCGTACAGGGGTGGGTTTTTATTTTTTATTTTTTTTATTTTGGTGGGTCCCACACATTGTGAGAATTGGTAAAACTTCTGTCAACCATTGTCCTGTACAAATGGTTTAACTCCTTTTATATCGCAGTAAAAATTAATTTGTTAAGATTATTTTTTAGAGATTGTTTTGCTTAGAAGAGTAAATTAGGATTTCGTATTTACCTTTTAAAGCAAAAAATTATGGTTAATAATTAGTTATTTGGATTGTTATTGAATAACAATTTTGAAATTGCCATATCTCTACTTCTTTCAATCCAAACCGATATTCTACAGAATAAAAAATTGGTTGACCAAGAATCTTCTATAAGTATTTGGCATTCTTTGTAAGATTCAATGGATATTTGATTATATTATTAAGGGAAAATTGCAGTCACTGTATCAAACCTTTCATATTTTTCCAGACTAATTTTTAAAGGGCAAAATGGTAACTTTTTTTTTTTATATAAAAAAGACTAAAATCAAATAATTAAATCAAAAACCAAAAAGCTCTATTATCTTCTCCAACCACCCAACCCAATCCAACCCAACCCAACCCAACCCAAAACCAAAACTGTCGGCACCACCAAACCCATCTCTGCCACAGTCCAAGGGCAACAATCTCCGACGCAACCTCTACGGCAACAGACTCCACTACAATTTATTATATAAACAAGAACAAAACATGGTCTGTATCAAGGTTTTGAAATGCTATCTTCTTCCTCGTGAGTTGCAGATTGATGCCTAAAAATCCACTTCCAAACCTTGTGCCCTTTGCTCCCCTTTTTCAATCCTCTCTCATTCATTGTTATTCTACGAGATCTCCCATTACTTCTGAGATTTTCAAGAGAAATTCCAGATTGATCAGACTTCTTAAAATCTGATTTTGGGTCAGCTGATAAATCAAGATTCAGATCAATGACAGCTGATTGCATCGGCTCGAATGGGAACTACCTCAAGAGAAACCGAGGAAGAAAGCTGAAGATGAGATTGAGCAGGAGCGACTGCAGATGGCGATGATTGATTGGCATGATTTTGTTGTTGTTGAGACTATAGACTTTGCAGACGACGAGGATGAGGATTTATCGCCTCCAATGGCACTCAAGGAAGTTATAAGGTGGAGTAAGATGTTGCGCCAAATTTGTTGCCAGAGAGGTTGCGCCGGAGATTGTTGTCCTTGGACGGTGGCGGAGTTGGGGTGGTTTGAGATGATAATAGGGCTTTTTGGTTTTTTTTTTTATATGAAAAAAAGGAAAGTTACAATTTTACCCCTTTAAGAATTAGTCAACAATTGGTCAGACTTTTAATTTTTGGTCAACTAACGGTCAAACTAACGATTCTGTCAATTTGGACTTCGGGTTCGAATTGTTTAAAGGTTTTGTACCGTAGGTGGCACAAATGAAAAGTTTGAGCAAAATCTGCAAAAAATGTGAAAGATTTGATACCGTGGCTGCAATTTTTCCTATTATTAATCATCGCTAATTTATCAATTCATTGTCCATATTATTGTTCCTTAATATAAAATTGTACAAAA